CTTATTATTTAATCTGTGATTACAAGCCCTTATATATAAAAGATCTCTAACTAACTAATCTAATAATATCTGTAACAAACTAACAGTGTAACAAACTATCTAACGGAACAGGTTAAGCTTTAAGCTTTAAGCTGCAGCTCATCTGTGGCTGGGCTGTTGTGCTTGTGACTTGAGCTAGAACGTTATCAGTCCCCTGCAAGCTGATGGGAGAGGGAGCAACCAGAAGCTTGAACAGAAGAAAACGAAATCGAGAGCTAGACAAAGGCTTTGTAAAAATATCTGCTATTTGATCCTCAGTAAGAACATATTTGAGAACAACTTTCTTGGCAACAACCTTGTCACGAATAAATGTGCTTGGCCAAGTGTGAAACACAGGATTGGAGGCTAGGGCAATAGCAGAGAGGTTATCACACCATAGAATAGGAGATGAAGTAGGAGGAAGATGAAGATCATGAATCAACATTTGTAACCAACTTAACTCAGCTGTGGCATGAGCTAAGGCTCTATATTCTGCTTCAGTATTGGATCGAGACACGATTGGCTGCTTTTTAGCAGACCAGGAAATGATGTTAGACTGAAGATAAATGCAGTAGCTAGAGGTAGATCTCCTATCCACAATATCACCTGCCCAATTGGAATCATAAAATACTTGAAGAGTAAAAGAACTGGGAGCAAAGGTGAGGCTATGAGTGAGAGACCCTTTAACGAACCGAAGAATACGTTTCACCAAAGCAAAATGACCATTAGTGGGATCATGCATATGTTGGCAAGCCTGATTAACTGCTAAAGAAAGATTAGGTTGAGTGATAGTGAGGTACTGAAAGCACTAACAAGGCTTCTATATAATTGTGGCTGATTAAATGGTAGAAAAGAAGCTGGATCAAGAGAAGGCTCGACTGAAATAGGGGAATTACAGGGCTTACAAGAAGTCATGCCAGCCTTGATGAGAATATCAGACGCATATTTATGTTGAGATAAGAAATAGTTAGCCCCTATAGACTGAATGGAAATACCAAGGAAGTAAGAGATGTTCCCCAATTCCTTCATTGCAAAAGCAGCATGCATATGATGAATAAGCACTTTAAGAAGAACAGAACTACTACCAGTAAGTAATATATCATTGACATAGACAAGAAGAATGAGAATATCAGTGGATGTCTTTTTGATAAACAAGGAGTTATCACAGTGGCTGTTAACAAAACCTTGAGACTAGAGAAACTTGGAAAAGGTAGAATACCACGCTCTTGGAGCTTGCTTCAGACCATAGAGAGCTTTTCTGAGACGACAAACATGATGAGGACTAGTGGAGGTGGAAAACCTAGGCGGTTGGAGCATATAGACCTCTTTATCCAAGGTGCCATGAAAGAAGGCATTATTGATGTTGAGCTGCTTTAAAGGCCATTGATAATGTAAGGCAATGCAGAGTAAAATACAGATGGTTGGTTGTTTAGCCACAAGACTAAATGTCTCATTATAGTCCATACCTTCTTGTTGAAGAAATCCTTTTGCAACTAACCTGGCCTTTGTATCTGGCAATGGCCCCATCAGAGTTGTGTTTGATCCTATACACCAATTTACAGCTAATTACTATTTTGGAGGATGGAAGAGGAACAAGTGATCAAGTACCTTGAGCAAGAAGAGCATTGTACTCTTGAAGCATGGCAAAATACCAAATGGGAGAAGCTAAGGCCTGCTGATAAGTAGTTGGTTCAACATGAGAGAAAGAAAGGGAAGAAAAAGAAGAAGAAGAAGCCAGAAGGCAGTGAGTTTTGGATTTGGTAAGCATAGGATGGACATTAGTAAAGGTAGAGGAAGGCAAGGCAGGTAAGCAATTCAAATGGATTCAATAGGAACAGATGAGGAAAAAGGATGGGAATGAGAGAAAAGTGAAGCAGACTGGTCAGGAAGGGAAGGCACAAGAACAGAAGTAGGAGCTGAAGGTGCAGCAGGGATAGGTGTAAGATTAGCAGGAAGATCAAATAAAAGAGGGGCTGCAGAAGATAAAGCTGGATCAGCAATAAGAGCAAATAAAAGAGAGACTGCAGAAAATAAAGCTGGAGCAACAGACAGAGGAACAGAGACATTAGGATGCTCAGAAAGAGGGCTAGACTGAAAAATAGGCTGAGAAGAGGGACTAATAGTCATAGAAGAAGAGATGTCACAAGAAGAGGACCAAAAGAAGAATGTGAGTTAAAGAAGAATGAGAAGCAGAAGTCTGAGATGAGAAAGATGTAGCAAAGGGGAAAATATCTTCATGAAAAAGAACATGCCTAGAAATGTGAATTTTACTTGTACCAATATCAAGACATCTGTATCCTTTAAAGGAGAGATGATAGCCAAGGAAAACACAAACAGTAGACCTAGGCTGAAGTTTGTTACGAGTGTAAGGTCGAAACCATGGAAAGCATTGACAACCAAAGACTCTAAATGTTGAGTAATTAGGAACAGAATGGAAAAGAAGTTCATAGGGAGATTTATTGGAAAACTTAGAACTAGGCATTCTATTGGTAAGATAAGTGGCTGTAGACATTGCATCAAACCAATGTTGGAAAGGAACAGATGAGTGGTGCAATAAGGCAATAGACGTTTCAATGATATGCTTATGTTTCCTTTCAGAAACTCCATTTTGAGGAGGTGTATATGGGCAAGATATTTGATGAATAATACCATGAGTGTTTAAGAAATTTTTCATTTGATTATTAGCAAACTCAGTGTCTCAATCAGTTCTGAAAACTTGCAATTTAGTAGAGAGCTGAGTTTCAACAAAAGCCTTAAAATCCAAAAATTTAGAAAACACTTCACTTTTGTAACATGAAGGATAAAGCCAAGGGAATTTGCTAAAATCATCAACAAAGAGAACATAGTATTTATAGGAGGACAAAGAGGAAGAAGGTCCCCAAACATCACTATGAATGAGGGATAATGGTTTGTTAACAGTGGGATTGGAAAGCATAAATGGTAGTCTATGGCTTTTGGCTACACAACAAGGAGCACAAGGAGACATGGCAGTCAAAGTTTTATTAGCAATATCATGCAAATGAGCTTTCATATATACAAATTTCGACTGAGAGGGATGACCCAATCTCTTATGCCAGACAGAGGTAGAAACAGCTGCAGTAGTGGAAGTAAGTGAAGCATGAGATGAAGACATAGAGGAATGCAAAACAGGAGAAGTAGTGGAAAAATGATATAAACCATGAGCATTAGAGCCCTGGTGTGAGATTGCCTTCGATTTCTTGTCCTGAATCACAAAGGAAGAATCATCAAATGTGATTATCTTTGGTAAGTTTATACACAGAAACAAGATTGTGAGAAATAGGTGCATGCAGAATGTTGTTAAGTTTGAAGGAATAATGAGGAGTAGACAAAATACCTTTGCCTGTGTGTTGGATAGGTAGTGATGTACCATTTCCAACTGTGATGTGATCATTACCTTGATGTCGCTGATACATGCTGAGATCATGCGTGATATGATCAGAAGCTGCAGAATCAAGATACCAAGGAGAAGATTCAGATTGAGCAGAGGCAACATAAGCTTTTGGTGAAGAAGCAAACTGTGGCTGTGATTGAGAAGATGCAGAAGAAGATTGATGATACGTTGTAACCATGCGATGCCAACAATTTGAAGCAATATGATTTGCTTTGCCACAGATTTGACAGATTAATCTTGAATGAACTGAAGATTGTCTGCCTCTGCCTCTGTTGTATGATCTGCCTCCTTTGAAAGAACTTCTAGAATTGCCTCTATAATTGTAAGCTAAACGTTCTCTAGAAGATGAGGAACCATGATAGCTGGAATGAGAGCCAGCAACAGAGGATGCAAGGTTGTTTTGACTCTTCTTTTGCTTAGATTCGATGCGAATAGATTCAGAACACAAAAGAGAGGTCAATTCAGCCATGGAAATAGCTTCAGCTCTGGCACGAATGGTAGTTTTTAGAGCATCAAATTCATCAGGTAAGCCATTTAAAGTAAACAACACCAGATCTTCTTCATCAATAGGAGATGAAGCTAAAGCTATCTAATCAGCAAGTTCTTTAATTTGGCTCAAGTAGTCTTCAATAGACTTAGACTCCTTCGTCAAATTATTCAATTTGTTTTTCATTTGATGAATGTGAGATTAAGAAGTAGAGTAAATCGTTTACACAATGCTTCCCATACCTCTGCACTATGATGCAAATGAAGAACTGATATGAAAATGGCTGGTACAAGAGTAGCTGTAATACAACTGAGCAAATGTGCATCAAAAACATTCCATTTTGCTTGATCTGGATTCAATATTTATTCACCACTTGAATTCTTGATCATCAATGGAGGACATGGAGCAGATCCATTTGCAAAATCCAAAAGCTCAGTTGCACAAAGTATATTTTGAAATTGACTTTTCCAAATAATGAAGTTTATAGGATCAAGTTTGACTGTAATAAAGAAGTTTAGATTGGAGATCAGAAGATTGAGATTAGGAGGTAGAGATGAAGAAAAAGAGGAAGCCACGGATGACTTGATATGAAGCTCGTGACAGCTTTAGCAATGCTCTGATACCATGATGAAAGATCATAAACTTTTCTTATTATTTAATCTGTGATTACAAGCCCTTATATATACAAGATCTCTAACTAACTAATCTAATAATATCTGTGACAAACTAATAGTGTAACAACTATCTAAATGAACAGGTTAACCTTTAAGCTTTAAGTTGCAACTCATTTGTGGTTGAGCTGCTGAGCTAGTTGTGGCTGCTGGAGTTGCTGAGCTTATGACTTGAGCTAGAATGCTATCATTCTTACTCTATTAGACCTAATTACTTCCCGCTAATATATATATCGATATGATGTTGATGTGATTAAATAGGCAATAAAGAAAGTGACTGATGGTTTTACTTTTGCTATGATGATTGTATGTATGAGATTTTGAGGTAAAAGATTCTTTGCCCAAGTTTTTATATACAGGCAAACACATAAGCCACCTCACCTCGGATTCAATCTCTGATTTTTTATTGCAGGTTTTTTCTTGGGCATAATTGGACAATTTCCATCCAGTATATCTATCGAGAGGCACACATGTTAGTGGACAAGCTTGCCAAACAGTGGCGGGGGGAAGTGAGGACCAGGGGGACAAGCTTGCAGGTTTCTGTTTTTTTTTTTTTTGGCAAATATAAAGAAAATATTTTAAATAAAAAAAAATTACAAAAATATTATTAGAATGAAATGTCAATGACATTTTAAAAATTATGAGAACAATAATTGTTATTTTGATTAAAAATAAAGATATTATAAACCATATTATTTATGAAAATTTTATGAAAATTTTTGAATGTACCGGTGATGTCATTATTATTGACATGCAAATATAAGTAATCTCACTATAAAGATGTGAAATTTATTAGATTGTTAGTTACATTTGACATGTGAGGCTCACTTTATATGTGTTTATTTATTATCAGTTCGTGATATCAGATACTAATAATGACATGATATTACCATTATATTGAATTTTTAATCAAATTTTGTATAAAAAAAATTTATCATTATATAATTTATTTTAAGACTTATATCTATATTTTTTTATATTTTTCATAATACACTAGTTATAAATAACATTATTTTTTTGATGTTTCTCGAAATTAATTGTAAAAATTTGTGTGAAATATTTTTGTAAAATTTTTCGATATTATAATTCATAAGTGTCCTAATTTGATTTTCTAACTCCGCCACTATTGCCAAAGTTGTTTTTGATCAATAAGGAACTCTTGTAACATATTCCTAACCTCCTTGTTTTGTAACTTCTTTTGTCAACAATGATTTGTGTGGGATGGCTACCACACGTTGTGTAGCCAACTAACTTAAAATATAAATAATAGCTTGCATTTTTCATTAAAAAAACACATAAGTAAAAAATGCATGGTTGTTTAGATGTTGATACTGGCCATCGGCTTTTAAAATATTGAGAAACAATGCTCATAGTAATTTACATAATGTTTTTTAAGGGTAAGTTAGACTTTTCAATATTGAATTTTTATCTAAATTTTTCATTTTTCTTTTTAATTTTCTGATGGTAACAATTAAGTTCTCAATTTCAATCTATGTTTCAATGTGGTTTGCCCATCATCCTATTGTTTGAATGAAACATGATAAAGGATCAAAGTGAAATTTTGATAAAAGTTCAAGAGTAGCATGTGTAATGTGTCATGCAATTTTTTTTCTTCTTCTGATGCCTTCAAATTGTGTTCACTGGACTTTCACTCTGTCCAAATGTTTAAAAAAATAAAGGACGGAAAGACTATATTGAAACACGAATTGAATTTTCAAATTTTAATTATTACATATAAAAGTGGAGGAATAAAAATAAAATTTACATAAAAATTTAAGAGTAAAAAGTATAATTTAATTATTATTTTTTTATTGTAACCAAAACGCAAGATACCAAGACGAAAATATTAAGAACATCAAACAATAATATCATCTGAAAACACTTGGTAATTCAAGAAACAGCTTCTTTATAGTCCATCAGTCCACCAAAGTGGACTTCATTGTGTAGTTTGTCCATTGTGAGACCACACCAAGCCTATCTTGATAATCCGAATCGTTCATTTACATGATTAATCACATTTTCCTTTAAAAAAATGAATTGTCAATTCTAGAAATGATGCATACCATTTATTTTTTTATAAGATAATGTGATTTGATCATGTGACTACTGATATTTGATCAATTTAATTTTTAATATGAATGATTTACCCAATAAATTCTATAATATAAACAATTAAGATCATTTAAGTGACGTAGAAAAATTGTAACCTTCAAAATATTATTATTTGCTCCTAGAGCATTGCACTACACCGCACTAATCAGTAATTGGCATTGTCCTTCTTGAGAAAACACCCAAACAAAAATAATGGGTGCATTTCTCCATGAACCAATTAAATGTTGGATAATCTGGATTTTGATAAATAAATGACACTACCAACTCGATTCAAATTGTGGAGTAAAGATATTTTGATATCTTAATGGGTATTACTTTATGAGCTAATTACATGATGTTTGTTTGGCATAATTTATATAAGTGTATTTAGTTAGATAAGTGCATTTATTTAGGTCATATCACCTCTCTACACTATAAGAAAATACACTTTTGGCGACTAAAACATTCATCGCCAAAAGTACATATTTTAGTCGCCGAAAGTATTTCCTGACTAAATAATTTGATCGTTGGATTTGTTGGCCATACATAGTCGCCGAAGGAATTAGCGACTAAAATTCATTTAGTCGCCATAAGTAGTACAAAATACCGACTAACGTGTTAGTAGGCAAAAATAACAGGTATTGGCGACGAAAACAGTGTTAGTCACGGATAACAGACATTGCCGACTAAAACATTAGTCGCCCAAACCGTTCATTAAATATTTTAACTCAACTATTTAGCTACTAATGTTGTTGTCGCTAAAAAATACAATATCTGCGGCGGCAATATTCTTAGTCGCTAAACAAAAAGTTATAGCCATCTACAAAACACAAATTGCAAGGATGTCAATTGTAATTGAAATTGTATGTAAATATAGTTTGAATTTAGGAATTTCAATATAGTTTCTGTACACGTTAACTTGTATTTAAAGTGCAAACAAATTTCCAAGTCAACCCCAACTCAAGTTTACTCTAACGTGTAAACATACATATATTTTATTCATAACTGTACATATATAGAGATCGTTATAGAACATATATATTGCTAAGCTTTAATATATTTGTATAAGCTTTATGCATTTTTCACGCCAACTCCCAACGTACACGTGCTAATTACGTCCCGTCCGTCCCCACACGTCCTATTTGACACGAGGAAACTACCTGTACCATCCCCGCAGTGCTTCGGGGGCTGCTCTCAAGTTTTGGCCCTCGAACCCCTTTTTTCGACTAAGTTTATTGCTTTTTTCACGCCAACTCCCAACCTACACGTGCTAATTACGTCCCGTCTGTCCCCACAGGTCCTATTTGACATGAGGAAACTACCCGTGCCATCCCCGCAATGCTTCGGGGCCTGCTCTCAAATTTCGGCCCTTGAAGCCCTTTTTTCGGCTAAGTTTATGGCGTTTTTCACGCTAACTCCCAACGTACACGTGCTAATTACGTCCCGTCTGTCCTCATAGGTCCTATTTGACACGAGGAAGCTACTCGTGCCATCCCCGCAGTGTGTTGGGGGCTGCTCTCAATTTTTGGCCCTCGAAGCCCTTTTCTTGGCTAAGTTTATGGCGTTTTTCACTCCAACTCCCAACGTACACGTGCTAATTACGTCCCGTCTGTCCCCACAGGTCCTATTTGACATGAGGAAACTACCCGTGCCATCCCCGCAGTGCTTCGGGGTCTGCTCTCAATTTTCGGCCCTCGAAGCCCTTTTTTCGGCCAAGTTCATGACGTTTTCAGCTGAATTACATCATTTGGTTAATGCGTCAGCTGCTTTAGACTATGTTTGCCTTGTTCTCAATGAATTAAGGTATGAACTCTTCATCAACTCAATTTGCAAGTGTAGGCAACAAAGTGAGGATTGGGCGTTGTGAGTCATATATTAGTATGGAACAAGGGGGTTTGGAGATAAGGAGAATGAAAGAGAAAGATGCACTATGCTTGTTGATTAACACTAAAATCTTGGGCTACTAAATTCTCTTCTTTTCTTTTTTCTTTGTCATTCTCTTTAATGTTTTCCAAATCATATTTGACTCGAAATCTTTTATGTAAAATGTAGAGCACTTTTGTTGTGAGAGCTAAAAGGCTTGCTAGCAAAAGGAGTCTGGTTCAGTAGGAATGAAAGCTTACACAAAGTTCCCTTAAAGATCATCCTGGTTTTAATTGATATTGATTATGAATCATTACTTGGACAAACTAAAAACAAAAAAGTAGCCGTGTTAATAGACAATCATGTAATCACTTTCCCAGCCACCATAGCAGATCCTCAAACATGGAGAGTTCAACTAAAATCAAAGCAAAAGTGGGTATGCTCCCACGCTACCAATAAGGGTTCGATTCCCCTCCTGTTTACCTGGTTCAGACTTGGCGGTGGCCTACACCTAGCACAAATTCTCAGTCATTAGCCTTGAAATTTATATTAAGTTGTGACTGTAGCCCGCGTAATTTTGGGACACATAAATCTAATTATCATCCTGGAGAGAAGCATCTGCTGGTAGAGATGCTAGAGCAGAGACTACTACTCAAAATAAACAGTGGGCTGCAGTAGGACCTTCCACAACTTAAAGCATAGGTCAAATGCATATTTTAACATAGAACAAAATCCTATCTAAATGTAACCATAACCGCAGACACAATAATGCAGCTGAATAGGGGATCCATAAAGACCACACAAATACCATCCCAGTTAATACAACTTGACACACAGATCATGATAAGGCAAGAGTAAGTAACTCGACAAACCGTTGCAACATGAAGACGACGACATGACTGACTTTCAGACACCCATACTGAGCTATTGCTGGACTGGACGACAACTCTGGACCTTCCCAACTGAGAGTAATAGCTGCAGCCGTGAGAGTTGTGTGCATGTGATGTTCTGAACTGTATTAGAGCACCACACATAATTATGCAGCACCATTCACAAACCATTGGTTTTTGACATGAAGGCTGCATTTTCAGCTTTATGTACAGTTCTGGTTTCTGAGCTATCCTTTGAAGGCTTGTTGACTAGAGCACCGCACAGAATTTTACATAATAGTAATAACAATAATTATTATTATACTAATATCTAAGGGAAAACCACTCTCTCACTATTTGCATATGATGTCAGTAGATCCTCACACTTAAACCAATTCATTAGAAAATTCATAGATGGGAACAAATGTGATGTTTGCAAAAACACATTTAGTACTTGGTGGGCAACTTAAAAAAAATGGAAGTTTGTAACCGTGCAAACGCAATTATCACAGATTAAACAAGCATGAAGCAATTAGTCTTAAGAACACATGATTTACTATAACTTGTGATTTACAAAGTATAAGTACAATTTGTTCTTGCAATTTCTCCAAATCAGTCACCCTCAATGTCTTCGAGCACAACTGTTTAAAAAAAGTTCCAAACTCAAACAATGTGGTCCCAATCTGGGTAGGAAGGTATCCTCGCATCCCAGTGGGAAGAAGTCGTTGTAGAAGGACATGACAGTGATGACTCTTGAGGCCAACTAACTTACAACCATTCGCGGTGACACAATTGGATACATTTGCCGCATAGCCATCAGGAAACTTAATTGATTTCAAGAAATCAGAAAACCCTATTCGTTCTGCCGGGGACAATGTGTACAATGCCGGAGGCTTTAGGAAAGAGCCATTCACATGCCTTATCAAGTGTAAGTCCTTTTGTATTCGCATGTCCTCTAAATCCAAACGTGCTTTGTCGGTGTCCTTGTTCTTGCCATCAATGCTCAATAGTGTCCTAAGCAGATTGTCACATATATTCTTCTCTATGTGCATGACATCAAGGTTATGCCGAAGCTTAAGTGTTTTCCAATAGGGTAGGTCGAAAAGAATGCTTCTTTTTGTCCAGTTCGGAGTTAGATTTTCAGTCCGTTGTCTTTTTTGGTTGGTTGGATGCTTTTCATATGGCCTGTACGTACCCAAATTAACTTGCTCCAGTATTTGTTCTCCCGATAACTCGACAGGTTTGGACCGATTCTCAATGTCACCGTTGAATAGCTTACTTCTACGCCAATTATGGTTCTCAGGTAAGTACCGCTGAGCACCCATAAACCCTATCTTATTGCGCAAACGTTGAGATGATGTATCCACGTTACAAATAGGGCAGGCTAAGTAACCTTTTGTACTCCAACCAGACAACGAACCATATGCAGGGAAATCATTGATGGTCCACATGACTGCTGCATGCATTGTAAATATTTGGCCGGTAAAGGCATCATATGTTTCCACACCATGCTCCCACAGATTAGTTAACTCTTCTACTAATGGTTGCAAGTAAACATCGATGTCCCTTCCAGGTGCGGATCGTCCAGGAATAAGCAATGACATCATGAGAAATGGATCTTTCATACACTTCCACGGGGGTAGATTGTAAGGCATTAAGATTACGGGCCACATGCTGTACGATGTACTCATATGTCCGAATGGATTGAAACCATCCATGGCAAGCCTTAGCCGTACATTCCGAGGATCCGTAGAGAATGTAGGATGCAACCTATCAAAGTCCTTCCATGCCTCACCATCAGTTGGATGTCACAATACTCCATCATCTACACGCTTATCTTTGTGCCATCTCATATCTGCAGCTGTTTTTTTCGACATGTAAAATCTCTTCAACCTCGGTGTCAAAGGAAAGTACCTCAGTATTTTCTGTGGAATTTTTTTACCCGTCTTGTCGTTCAACTTGTATCTAGACTCCGTACATGTAGAGCAATTCTCCAATGTGGCGTTGTCCTTCCAAAATAAAGTACAATCATTCTTGCATGCATGAATGGGCTCATATCCCAAACCCAACTCACGTAAGAACTTTTTCGCTTCATAAAGGGTCCATGGAACATTTTCATGACACTTTGGGAGAATGTCTTTGAAAACTTGCATAACGTTCATTTTCTTTACAAACAAAACCCCTTAAATAATGATTTATATTTTTTAGATTAATCTGATATCAGTGGCAGAGGGAGTGTGCCCCCCTGGATTTTTTTTTTGGCAAATATAAAGAAAATATTTTAAATAAAAAAAATTACAAAAATATTATTAGAATGAAATGTCAATGGCATTTTAAAAATTATGAGAATAATAATGGTTATTTTGATTGAAAATAAAAATACTATTATAAACTATATTATTTATGAAAATTTTATGAAATTTTTTTAATGTACCGGTGATGTCATTATTATTATTTTATTTTTTTTGATCAGCAAAAGAGAACTTTATTGATGACAAAAACATACACATACATATGAGTTGAACATCAATAAATAGGAGGAAGAGCAGCAGTGCATCAAAGCTAACAACCCAATCCCAACTAGGTTGGCACCGGGAAGAAAGCCCAATCATCTGCGAGCTCAACCACAAAGGGATGGTGAGAGACCATGCCCAGAAATGAAATAGAGACCCCAAAAACTCAACCCCCAATTCACCATGCAACCCCCAAAAAGAATTCCAGCAGAGCAGAGCAGACCAATTCATCTATAATCACCCCCTATCTATCAGCAGCAGACCAGCAGATGATTGGGGTTGGCATCATCTATCCAATATTGCACCATATGATTCTACTCGACAGATTCATGAAGCAGGCATAGCAGCAGACAACCACCAATAGCTTAGCAGCATCACACCAGATATTAGTGCATTAGCAAACCAAAAAGAAGAGTCCATTCTAATATTTTCCTGTCAATCCGCACCTACAGACCAGCACCAGAAACAGGTCACAGAACAGCGGCAGCCAATTCTGACCAAGGAATTCAGTCCACCACCCAATTCATACAACATCAGCCAAAACAAGGTACCCATCTGGGGAAGTTGGAGAATTCACCATTCAGACCAGTGCAACACACAGGTCACAGTAGCTATTCAGACATGAAGAATGCTGCCACTACACCAGAATAGTGCAGATAAATCCATAACAATGACAGAAAGAAGCTTATACACCAGCCATTGATGCCTATTGATCCATCCACAATCCAACTAACCAGCTTACAGACATGGACACATCCTCAGTCCCTTAATCTATACACAGTTGCAGACCTGCTTCAGGTTATACAACATATCATGCACCGAGTAATTAAACTCTCTCAAGGAAGATACAGTCCACATAGCAACTCTCTCATTATTATTGACATGCAAGTATAAGTAATCTCACTATAAAGATATGAAATTTATTAGATTGCATTTGACATGTAAGGTTCACTCTATATGTGTTTATTTTTTATTAATTCGTGATATCACATACTAATAATGACATGATATTACCATTATATTGAATTTTTAATCAAATTTTGTATAAAAAAAATTATCATTATATAATTTATTTTAAGACTTATATCTATATTTTTTTATATTGTTCATAATACACTAGTTATAAATAATATTATTTTTTTGATATTTCTCGAAATCAATCGTAAAAATTTGCATGAAATATTTTTGTAAAATTTTTCAATATTATAATTAATAAATATCTCTTCTAATTTGATTTTCTAACTCCCTCACTTGCCAAAGTTGTTTGTTTTTGATCAATAAGGAACTCTTGTAACATATTCCTAACCTCCTTGTTTTGTAACTTCTTTTGTCAACAATGATTCGTGTGGGATGGCTACCACGCGTTGTGTAGCCAACTAACTTAAAATATAAATAATAGCTTGCATTTTTCATTAAAAAAAAAAACACGTAAGTCAAAAATGCATGGTTGTTTAGATGTTGATACTGGCCATCGGCTTTTAAAATATTGAGGAACAAAGCTCATAGTAATTTACATAATGTTTCTTAAGGGTAAGTTAGACTTTTCACTATTGAACTTTTATCTAAATTTTTCATTTTTCTTTTTAATTTTTTGATGGTAACAATTAAGTTCTCAATTTCAATCTATGTTTCAACGTGGTTCTCCCATCATCCTATTGTTTGAATGAAACATGATCAAGAATCAAAGTGACATTTTGATAAAAGTTCGAGAGTAACATGTGTAACACGTCATGTAATTTTTTTCTTCTAATGCCCCTAAAACGTGTTCACTGGACTTTCACTCTGTCCAAATGTTTAAAAAAAATAAAGGACGGAAAGACTATATTAAAGTACGAATTGAATTTTCAAAATTTAATTATTACATATAAAAGTTGAGAAATAAAAATAAAATTTATATAAAAATTTAAGGGTAAAAAGTATAATTTAATTATTTTTTTTTTATTGTAACCAAAACGCAAGATACCAAGACGAAAATATAAAGAACATCAAACAATAATATCATCTGAAAACACTTCGTAATTCAAGAAACAGCTTCTTAGAGTCCATCAGTCCACCAAAGTATACTTCATTGTGTAGTTTGTCCATTGTGAGACCACACCAAGCCTATCTTGATAATCTGGATCGTTCATTTTGTAAGGGTTCATCAAGTAGATCATTTATAATGAAAATCAAGTTAATCAAATATCAATAATTACATGATCAATTACATTTTCTTCTAAAAAATGAATGGTCAATTCTAGAAATGATGCATACCATTCATTTTTTCATAAGATGATGTGATTTGATCATGTGACTACTAATGTCTGATCAATTTAATTTTTAATACGAATGATTTACCCAATGGATTCTATAATATAAACAATTAAGATCATTAAAGTGATGCAGAAAAATTGTAACCTTCAAAATATTATTATTTGCTCCTAGAGCATTACACCGCACTAATCAGTAATTGGCATTGTCCTTCTTGAGAAAACACCCAAACAAAAATAATGGGTGCATTTCTCCATGAACCAATTAAATGTTGGATAATCTGGATTTTGATATATAAATGACACTACCAACTCGATTCAAATTGTGGAGTAAAGATATTCTGATATCTTAATGGGTATTACTTTATGAGCTAATTACCTGAGGTATGTTTGGCATAATTTATATAAGTGCACTTAGTTAGATAAGTGCATTTATTTATGTCACATCATTTCTCTACTTTCTTGTATATTTTTTTGTAAAAAGTCAAACTGTATACTTATTTACATCATTCTAAATGACATAGCCACTTCAACTACGTTCAGGATTGAAAAATTTTAGTCTTAATTTTATGTATACATTTTGCTCATAGTGATCGTAACTGTAACTTTAATTTTAAAGTTAAGGGTAAATTAGATTTTGCATCAAATTTTACTTTGATTCTTACATAAAAAATCGTGATAGTCAACCCCTGTACTTGTAGTCAAATCTCACTTTAATCCTTATACATAAAATCGTGACAGTCAATCCCATGCACTTCTGGTCAAGTGTACATTTTTCCCATCTATTAATTCATTGTTTAAGTTTTTTAGACAATTCAGTCATGTAACAAGTACGTGACTACGAAATAAAAAGAGATGAAAATTATCGTCATTTTTCACCAATATATACTTTGTCCCACATGATAAACATATAATGGTGTGTTTGTTTGGACGGACTGGATAAGTGGGATTGTAATCCATCGGACTATTAGTCTTGGGATACATTATCCCCGGACTATTTGGTTGGACTGGATTTGTATTCTTTATTTGTTTAGTCATGGGATTAGATGTCTGGATTAGACTATCTTTAGTGAATCCAATATTTGTTTGGGATATTATGCAAAATGATAAATGCTCAAATGACTATTTTATCCTTTTCAATTATTTACTAAGTAATAGCAATATTAAACATAACTTTAATATTTTAATTATTTTTAGCTAGATTAAATAAAAATTTATTTTATTTTATTTTTTGCACAATTAAATAAATTTATTTTAAAAAAATAAAAAACTTAAATATAAATAAAAATATATGTTATTTTTTAATTAAAATTTTAAATAAATTTATTTTAAATAATAATAATAATAATTAAATAATGAAATAAAATAAAGCATCTATTAAAATTTAAATAATGAAATTAAATAAAATATAAAAAAAATTAAAATAAAACATCAATAAAATATCTATAAAAAATATTTTAAAAAATTAAATAAATAAAACAAAAATAAAAATTAAATAAAATTATTTTATTTTTAAATTGAGACATTTAATTTTTTTTGAATTTTATTAAATATAATACATAATTAAATACTAGAAGGCAAAAATATAATTTTATTAGCTAATCTCATGGGATGAGTTATCCCATGGTTTCTATCCCCTCCCTCCCCCCCCCAAAATGGGATAGGATAGTCCTACAAATATGGAATTAATAGTCCGGGAGGATTATTAATCCGGAGCAAAACTTTTGAAACAAACAATGGACTATTAGGCCGGTGGGACTAATAGTCCAATCCCATGGCCTAATCCTTCAAAACAAACACACCCTAAGAGTTTATAATATATATATGTTCATTTGTTAAAAATTGGGATGAAGACACATGCAAATAGAGTTTTTGAAATTAAAAAAATAACTGAAAAATTAAAGAGAAATGAAGATGAATAGACAAAAAATTGTATTGCTGTACAAAATAGAGTTTTAAGATTTTAATTTTTGCAATACCCTAATTCATCTCCTTAATCATTCACAATCTATGTTTTGTTTTAATTGAATACAATCAAACTTTTATGTAAATGTTGAAACGAAATGTGTATAAACGAAAATTTTGGATAATTTTTCCTTTTTTGCCCTCATTTTGTAGTCATATGCTTGTCACATTACTGACTTTTATTAAAGACTTATACGGTAGAGTAACAAAAGAGGCACATTGACACTTGACCAGAAATGCAGAGGATTGATTGTCACAATCTTATGTGTAGGGATTAAAATGAGATTTAACCAAAAGTGTAAGGGATTGACTGTTTCAATTTTATGTATAGGGATCAAAGTAAAATTTGGTGTAAAGTGTAATTAACCCAAAAGTTAAGAGTAATGCTAAGGATCATGAAAAAAATATCATGAAGATGATTATGAAATATTTTCTATCTTTAGATTACCCATACAATAAAACACCATACATTAATCACACACTAATCAATGGATGAAAAATCTTTATGATGAATTTTATGATATATTTTTCATGATTAATTATTTATGTGTGTGAATGATTTAGGATTGATATTTATTACGTATCAAAATTTGTGCATCTCAAGAAATGCAATGAATCATATTACATGGGTGTGGCACATGAATTAGTTAACCAATATCGTACATTTATCGAATTTATTTACTTTGAATTCGTCTAAATGAATCTTTTTTGGAAAGAATCCTTCATGCATAAGCCTCTTCTTGAAAAAGATTCATTGAGCCGAATTCAACCTAAACAAATTCCACGAATAAATCATTAATCATTAGTTAACCATTCTATCAAATGACCCTGCAATAAGCAGCAGTTTTCTGTTACTATTCTTTTAATAAAAAGGTCCCGCTAATGATGGTTTTAAAATGTTAAAATATTAACCCTTAGATGGAACATCAAACATGATAGAGACCCCCTTCCTCCCCCATACATACGTGAGGGTTAGTGATTGGAGAAGAAAAAAAATAAAAATAAAAATATTCTGGCCAATCACAGTCCACTGGAGGTCTAGAACATTTTTCGATGGAACATTTCTCATTCACTGTCACAACAGAGTTCACGCTGCAAATTTTTTTTATACATTTTTATTTATTTATTAATATTTATTAGAACAATAAAGCTTGAGGGCTCGAAAATTCCAAGGCTCGATTGCCCCGAAATTGAAAACAACGTCGTTTCCAATTATTAATTTTTTTGTTTTCCTCTCCTTAAACAGGGAGAAGTGAAAAGAGAGAAGAGAGAGAGAGAAGATGGAGGAAAAGAGAAGAGCAACGGCGTGATGGCGACGACGGACGATGGGACGACGGGTTGTGTGTGTGTATACACAGATCTGTGTATACACACAGAGCAATGGTGATGGGCGACGGAGGCAGCTTCTTCTCCTCTCTTCTTCTTTATTCTTCTCTCTTCCCTCATTTTTTTTTTTTTTGATTTGTGTTATTTTTTTGAGTTTTGAGAAGAAACAGATTTTATTGGTGATCTATTCTTCTCTATTTCTCTGCAAATTGGTGATCTGTTTTGGAGTATTTCTCTATTTCTCTATTTCTTAGATTTGGTGAAAAAACCCATAATTTTTTTGAGTTTGTTTGTTAAATTTTTTTGTTAATTTTTTTGAGTTGTTGATTTTGAGCTCCAGAGCAGTAGAGCAGAGAGGGGGAAAGAAGAAGAGGGGAAGGAAGAACAAAACGGGAAAAAAAATAAAAAAAAATAAAACGACGTTGTTTGAAAATTCGGGACAGTCGAGCCCCTATCCATTCGGGCTACGTAGCACGTCTGTTTATTAGAAATATAACAAATCAATTCATGATAAACTTTATATATTTTTACCATTAAAGTCAAACATTTCTGTAAATCTGTAATTATTTTAAGATAGTACTACTGATTTATAAATGATAAATTCTTCATTTTTATTTATTTATGTGGAAGTGCATATTGGTACTCACCCAATGGAGAAAATTAGTACATTCATAGCTTATAATATGTATATATTTTTTTCGATGGTCAAGATATTAATTTTTACTATGACAATAATGACATAAAATTAAATAATGATACTTTAACAACACAATTAATTAAAAACTTAATAACAATCAAATGAAAGAGTCCATATATAATGAAAGAAAATAAACAATGAATACAACAAAAGTAGTCACTGTGCAATGTATACCCATGTCAAACGAGTCTTCCTTTTTTCTCTTTTCTTCTTCACTAATTCCTACTTAAATTAAGATTTAAAACACAAGCCTAAACCTTGAGTTTAATGATATGAAAATGATTATTCTATTATCATAACCTCAAATTCTTGATCTTTATTTTCTCACCATGACCTTATCATAAACTGACATTTCAATGTATTATTACAAAGAACTGAGAACAAACGTCAAACTGTGATAAAATTCTGAAGCACAAATAAAATGATGATGATCACACTGTTCTTTGGTTCATGCTCTTTCAAATTGAAATATACTTGAGTAGTGATCATCATCTTTCTTCATCAAGATCAAGAAGTAATTTGCCACCTTGAGCTGTTAAAATTGATGTTTACTACCAATAAGCCACAACCAATCAAGAGCAACTCCTGAAAGTATGCCGCCTTGAATACACAACACTAGCAAATTACCCAATGTATTTTGCTCAGGGCTCTACAAAATCAACAACTCAATGATTACTTTTTAGGATAAATATTTAAAATCCAATAAGAATTAGCATATATAGCTAAAAAATAAAATTAAAAAAAAAATAGTAATAATAATCATTGTGTTTCGTTGGGAATTTTCAAAAATATTTTTCTCAGTCTTCAATTTATATTTTTGTATTTTTAATGACTTTTTTTAGATATTTAAGTAATTTTTTTTTTTTTACTTAACTGTCAAATAGGTGAGCCATGTTTTGTTTATAAATTGACTTGTAAAGAACTATCAATTATATAAATATTAAAAATTGATATTATAAACTAACCTTGTAGCCTTTTGGAGCTTGTGTGAGGACACAAACATTGAGATAACCATTTGTTAAACCCAAGAAAGATGTAAGCATTATCATCCATCCTTGACTACCATAATTTGCAGTGAAGTAGAATGCAGGGATAAGAAAGAAACGAGACAATGTTGCAATCATAAGCCCATTTCGAGATTTTATCTCGAGGCATTTCACGAGGGGAATGTATCTTGATATCAGATTCCACACATTGTACATTGCTACTAGCACAAGTGCATACCTAGAAAGATTACATGGCAAACATTTGGAACTTGGTACATTACAGTTTACTGTTATTTCTTTACAGAAACATTATGCATATGACTTTTATTTTTAATGAAAATAAAAACAAAAAACCATATTTAGTACACATTTGGAGTTGTTTTGGGAACCACCTAAAGAGATAAAAAGTCAAAAAGTCACCATCGAAGCTCATTCTTTTTATTTTATTTTTTTTGTAAGTTTTTAATTTTTTAATTTTTTATAAAAGACTAAAAAACTAACTAAAGTAGTCACTTTCCAAAATAATCCTTAGATTTTTAAAAACTTACTTTGAAAACAATTAGGAGAAGGTGGGAAGACGTAATTGCTTGCCACTGGAGATGGGAGCCTCGCTAGAAATGGTTTCTAACCAACGAACACTTATTTTTCAAAACAATTGAAAACAATTTTTTTCATTTTTTTTATTTTAAGCATTATATAAATTTTAGATAAATTTTACTTGTTTTCCTTATGGTTTGGCCCGTATGTGGATTATCTCAATCTCATTTGGAAATAATTACATAGTTCCCTTATGATTTGTGAATTAAAATGCACTGTTAAGCCCGTTAACGACTTAATAAAAAAGACAAAAATACTCTTATATATAAAGTAATTAAGTGTGTGAATTATGAATATTTTTATCATTTGTTTGGAGGCAAAATGCATTTTAATCTCCCGTGTTTTATTTTATGTGCAATTTTTTCCTCTGAAATTTAAAAATAAGCATATTGCCCCCTTATGTCTCACACGTATTTTACATTTGTTGTTAAGTTTGATAAAATATTTAATAATGCACTTTAGTTCACAAATCACAAGCGAACTGTGATTATTTTTAAATGAGGTATTATGCACATGGGCCAAACCAAAAGGGGTAAAGTGAAATTTGTTCTAAATTTTTTAATTTTTTTTGAAATGAAAATAGATACCAAATGAGTTTTAATTTTCAATTTTTAAAACTTTTATAGATATAAATAAAAAAAACTTTAAACATAATCATTACGGGTGTGTTTGGTAACGTTTACGTTTTCAGTTTATATTTACAAAAATTTTATAAACTGGTTTTTATTTATTTTTAGAACAACATAAACTACTAACGCGTTTGGTAATTGACAAAATATTTGAAAAATTTTAAAAATATAAAAAAGAGTGAGAAATGGCAAATGGTGGCAAGTGGCAGCGGAAGACGGTGGTGAAAGGTGGTGATGGTGGGTTGTGGGTAGCTGGTGGTGGTGGGTGGGTAGTGGTGGCTGGTGGTGGGTGGTGATGGTGGTGGTGGCAGGTGGTGGGTGGTGATGATGGTGGTGGCGGGTGGTGGGTGACGGTGGCGCGTGGTGGGTGGTGGTGGTGGCAGGTAGTGGGTGGGGGGTGGTGGCGGTTGGTGAGTGGTGGTGGCAAGTAGGTGGCGGGTGGTGGTGACAGGCGGTGGATGGTAGTGGTAGTGGAGTGGGTGGTGGTGGGTAGTGGCAGGTAGGTGGCGGGTGGGTGGTGTGGGGTGGTGGTGGGTGGGGTGGTGGTGGGGCGGGTGGGGTGCAGGTGGGCTGTGGGTGGTAGGTGGCAAGTGGCTGGTGGTGGATGGTGGATGGTGGTGGCCGGTAGCTGTGAGTGTGGGGCAAGAAGGTGGCGGTTGGTGGCAGGGCGGTGGATGGTTAGTGGCGGGCCGGGTGCGTGGGGGTTGGTGGTGGTGGTGGTGGTGGCAAGGGGTGGGTGGTGGTGGTGAGTGGGTGGCAGGTGGATGGTGGTGGCAGGTGAGTGGTGGTGGGGGTGGATGGTGGGTGGTGGTGGCGGAAGACGGTGGTGGAAAATGGTAGCGGGTGGTGGCTTGTGTTGAGTGGTAAAAAAATAAAAAACTCAAAACTTAAAACGGAAACACATTTTTTGTGTTTTTATTTTTTGGCCAAATTTATAAATTGAGACCACTGATTTATAAATCAAAAATTTTACCAAATAAGTTTTTATTTGAGTTTTTAAAATTTTTGTAAATATAAACAGAAAACTGAAAACGCAAGTGTTACCAAATGACACCTACAAAACACAGTAAGATTGAATGTCTCCTGCCTAGTTTCATAGTTGTGGGTTGAACCTCGAGCCCATCTTGATGATTCACATCATTAAATTTATAGAGGCTGTCGAATGGATCATTTATATAAAAAAATCAAATTAATCGAATTTTAGTAGTCACATGATTAGTTTATATTTATATGAAAAATAAACAGTCTATATATTGATTTTGTTCTTGTCGTTCATTATTTTATTTTTTTTCATAAGAAATGTGATCCAGTAACTATTGAACTTTGATCAATATGATTTTTTTTGCAGATATACTGATTTGTTCTGCATCCTTACAAATTAAATGATTCGGATCACTATGATGGGTTCATGGATGGGTCCACAGCCATGAAACTAGACCATTCAATCCAGAGAGAAGCATACCATGAGCCTAACTGGTGGTGCGATCCAGTGTTTTCGTATAAGAAACCAGGAAAGATTGATAAAGTGAGGACACATGTTAAATACAAATCCACTGCATAATCTATGTTCTCAATGAACAATTGCTTGTTACTTAATCTCTGTTGTTGTTTATCATCTTCACCCTGCACAGAATACCAAAAGCTATTTCAAAGATTGAACTTTTTTACCAAAGGTGAGTTATTTCATAACTTTCTCATATGTGGAATGTTTTGAAAACTCAAGTATTTTTAACAATCATACACGACTTTAGGCTTGAAGATCTGATTTGCAGAAAATATTTTACAAAATTTAATGGATAAAATGCATATATAGTCCCTAAACTATGCATTTCTAGGTCACTTTAGTTTTTCAAGTTTTGATTATATCCTTAGAATTTTAATTCAAGTCAAATCGATCCAATTACAAACTTCCGTCTAAATTACTAATGAAATATGAAATAATTATAAAATTCACCTGCAGTGCCTGAAATATGCATTTTACGGCATTTTGATCCTCCAAAGTTCTAATTTTGTGAAATTTGTTCTTGAACATTGTAAAACTACGTTTCGCAGTCTAAATCAACATCTGGGAATCAAAATGACAAAATTATAAATTTTAGAGACCAAAGTGGCACAGGTTTCTTACTTTTGGGATCATAGATGTATTTCATTAGTCTTCCATTGATGATTTTGCTAAACCGATTGAAATTGGAGTAATTTAACTCAATTTATAAATTTGATCAAAGTAACGCAAGAGTCTTCAACCCACAAAACAATATGGCTTTGAGAAATAAGTTCAAAAGCATTTGGGTTTGGGAAATTTGTTCAAAAATTGCATCCTTTGGTAAAAAAATAAAAAATAAAAATCTCTTCAAAGTTTCATATCTTGAAACTTCTCGAAGTATATATGCTTTATGAATCGGGCTGGGCTTCTTTCCAGCCTAATATATCATAGGTCTTATTTTGATGATTCAAATTGTTCACTTTGTCGAGTTCTTTGTTTTATAATATTTATAAAAAAAATTAGATCGATCCAATAATCGTATTCTATCCAATAAATGGCATGTGGGTTTGTTTGGGAAGAAGGGTTGAGTTGGGTTGAGGGCTATTTTAGTCACAAAAAAATAAAATAGACCTTTTAGCTTAATAAGACAAAACATCATATCCAACCAACAATCATTTCATTTTTTCTCTCACAAAAGTTAAAAAAATCAAAAAGTCTATCCCAAACGAGATTTTTTTAGCCACGGGCTAAAATAACAAAAAAACTAAAAAACCAAAAAATCAACCCACATCCCAAATGAACCCTATGTCTCCTAAAATATGGACGGCAAGCAACGGTGATTGTACAACTAAGGATGGGTGTTCAATTGAACACCTTGGAATACTTTTAGGAAAATGCCTGGTAGCTCGAAGCTACCAGGCTCGAAAATGGCTCGAGAATATATATATATATATATATTTTTTAATTCAGCTCAAAACTTTATGTTGAATAACTTAATCTATATTCCTGAACACCTAGCCAGTTGAACACGCACTCAGCTCGCTTTCTTAAACATCCAATCCAACCCAACTCAGCCCATAACCATTTAATTAATATATATGCTTTTGTGAAGTGAGACAACATGTTTTAGAGTTTTACTTCCTTAGCATGTGCAAAGTATCATTTTGACAAAATTATCCATGTATTTATTTCTTATCTTAAATCTTATGCTTAATTTTGTTCAAAATTTATTGACAAATTAAAAACTTATTTTATAACTTACTGTACAAATTAACGAGAAATCAAACCCTAGAAGAAAAAATAAATCTCATTTTATCATGTCAGTGATAAAAACAAATTTTATTTATGTAAATTTTTGTATTTACATTTTATTTTTTGAAATAATGATATCAATATATAATTTTATTTTATTTTATTTATTTGCTTGTCATTTCAAAAGTCTACAAAAATCAAATTTTTGAACGTCTATACTAAAAAAAATTCTTAGAGTTGCCACTAATGGCAAATGTATTTTTGAAAATGGATCATTCATTTTTTTTTTGTATAACAAATGTGATAAATTGAACATGTTATGATTATTGGATCAATTTAATTTAATTTTTTTTATGGGTGATATATACAAATCATGCTACAAAATAAACGGTTCGAATTATCGAAATGAGGAAGATGTAACAAACCAACTAGAAGATAGAGTTTGTTAGTTAGTTACATTAGTTAGTTAGGTAGTTACAGATATTATTAGTTTGTTAGACATTTTTTGTATAAATATATCCATGTAATTAGATATTGTTTTAAAATGAGAAAAACTTTCAGTACTTCTTCAATATACAACTGATGCTACAAAATAAACGTTTCGAATTATCGAAATGAGGAAGATGTAAAAGATGTAGGCATACTCCATGGGTTGTTGCTTCTGTTTGGATGCCAGCAGCAGCAAGATCTGCTGTAACATTTGTTGATCCTTCTGAGGCTGCCCTTAAGCGGTAGTGCTTCACAATGGGTAGTTTTGGGAAGACGAATGCATATAAAAATATGCATAGAAACTCAAAGAATGTGGAAATTGCTAGAAATAACACTGCAAAAAAGACATGTATCTTTGAGTTTATTTATTTATTTTTGATCAGCAAAGAAAAACAAAATTTTATTGATGAAATGAGCAAATATAAGCATCAATATACATCAATAAAGGAGGGTAGTGCAAAAACATCATAACTAACACTCCACAATCCCAACTAGGTTGGCACCAAGGAAGAACCACAATCATCTGCTAGCATTAAACGTACAGATTAGGGAGAAACCAATCCAAAACAGAGAAACAAAACGACAACAGAAATAAACTACCCAACCACACAGCAAAGGCAACCTTCCAAATCTGTCAACTCCTTCCCCAACAAACTCCTCCAACAACTTATAACCAAAAACCAGCAAACTCCTAACAACATCAACATAAGCATCAACTATAAGGTACTAATCTATACAGCAGAACCGATGAGCAAACCAGATGAACACTCTAACAGATGAGTTCATACTTCTGAGCATTGGAATTTTCTGTCAATATAAAATAAAAAACATATATTTATTAATGACAATTGGATTTTATCTTAAGAGCCATGTGGAGATGATACATGGTGTGTCTATATTAATGGCAATTGGCAATTTGTGTATCTTGTCAATTATATTGTTTTATGTATAAATATGGGAAATAATAAATCAGTGTTAATTTTAAAAACTAATTACAAATTCATGATAAATCTTATATACTTTAATGATTAAAGTCATAATTTTTCATAAAAATATAATTATTTTAGGATAGTAATCTATAATTATTTGTAAATTCTCCTATAAATATTGGTGTATGGGATGAGTGGAGAGTGGGAGAGAGAAAGAGGGGTGCTCTGTATTGAGAGAGCGAGAGAGAGAGAGTTGGGATCTGGTCAAAATGGGAGAGTGAGAGAGAGAGAGCTAGTAAAGAAGAAATGGTGTATTGTTTGTGAGAAAAAAATACTGCTGGGCATCGAGGTGAAAGGATTCTAGTACATTTTGATATGGGGTTCGGATAGTTATGTGAATTTTAAATATTTTTTTTATCATCTCACATTTAAACCTCGTTTAAGAACAAATTATTATAGTAAATTTTTGACTTTTTAGTTAAAATATGAGATAAAAAATTTAGTACGGTTAGAATAATTTTTTGATTTTTTACAAAAAGATGTGCAAAAAGTAAAGAAAAAAAATAAAATCTTTGACTTTTTAGAATATGTTATAAATTTTTTGATTTTTAATAACATTTTGACTTTTAAACTAAAATAAGTACTTGCCAAACGAGGCCTGCTCTCTACTTTATTCCTATATTGGATTTATTTCTCTCTCACGGATGTAGATATTGGGACCAAATCACATTAAGATGGTGTTTGGGAAGTGAGTTTTTATGTAGATTTTAGTAGATGTAGGTTTTTATGAGATAAAAAAGTTTTGGTGTTTGGGAAGATAGTTGGATTTTTATGTGGTTGGATGTGATGTTTGTGAGAGAAAAAGTGAAATGATTATGGGGTTGGATGTGATATTTTGTTTGGATGTGTTTTTTTTGGTTTTGCAAAACTTTTGTCTTTTAGTGGAAAAAATGAGAAAAAAATTTGGGATATGGCTTCCCTATTGGGTTGTAGATATTGGGACCAAATCACATTAAATATTGGGTTCTTTCTTTTGTATGTACATATTTTTATCATGAAAAATGATTTATACCCCCACTGGGGTCGACCCCTAGTGAGGTGGAGGCCCATGATTGGATGAAAAAAAACATTTTTTTTTTTTTTTTTTTTTTTTTTTTTTTTTTTCCGGTTGGCAGCCAGTGGAGGCGCGCCACGTCACTGGGGGCGTGACCCCCACTGGGGTATAAGGCACAGCCGTTTCATCATTGACCCACAAGTTTATATTTTATGATGGGGGTATTAGAGCTTAAGGGGAGGTTTATTCCCCCAACAAGTAGCATTAGAGCTTAATGAGGAGATTTATCCCCAACACTGAGATGAGTCCAAAATATCTTATCTAAATTAATATCGGTTTTAGGCTATAAAAATTTAAAAAAGGGTAAATTGAGCTAAATTTTCACTTTAATCTTTATTATTTTAAATTGAATAATTTAGCCCCTATGCTTTGCATTTAGTTTCAATTTAGTCCTTCCCTTCAAAATGAAGGCTAAAAAGTTTTAGGACAATTGTCAATTTTTTAAGTTGTTTAAAATTAACAAAAAACATTTGGTGAAAGACTAAATTGAAACTAAACTTAAAGTGTAGGGATCAAATTATTCAAAATTAAAACAATAGAGATAAAAATGAATTTTTTATCGAACTATAAATATGAATACGTAATTTAACCCTCAAAAAATAAGAGAAGAAATAAAACTAGGTTGGTGGTGGGGTAATGGAGGTGGCACAGGTGCTAAAGGAGGAGGTGGGATAGTGGAAGTGGTGGAGGAGGAGGTGGTGCTATGGTGGCGGCGGTGGTGAGGTGGTGACATTGGTGTAGGACTTTTCAAAAAATATTTTGGTGTAGTTACAAAAAATAAAAAATAAAATCCTAGAGTTTGAACATTATAACAAAATAAATCATGAATTTTTTTATTTTGTCTTTAAACTCTAATCTTTTAATTTTTTTCAATATAAATTATTTGCTTATTTTTGTTAGGTAAAATTGACAGAAAAATAGGCATTTTAGTTATTAAACTCAGTGTAAGTATACATAAGATGTCTGAAACATAGTTTTTCATTGAATTTAATGACTAAAATATCATTTTTTTTATTCATTTTAGTTAGCGAAAATAGGAGATGGTTTATATTGAAAACAAATTAAAAATTAGGATTGAAATCATTTTTATTGATAAGTCCAATTTAGAAGTGTTTTAACCCAAGAAGTCTATGAAGGAATTTTTTAACCCATTTAGTCCCATGTATGTATAGTTTTATTCCATAAAGTCCATTTTCTTAATTTACACTATTTTCTTGGACACTTATGCCCTTATATTTAATTTTGATACCCTTATAAATATTTTTTCAACGATTAGCAATTTAATGATGTGAATATTCATATTTTAAAATTCACATTTGTAGAAATGTAAATTGGCCCGTGGGCGGCCCGAAACCCGCCCGCGAGCCAGGGCGGGCCCGGCCCGTTGACAATGTGAATATTCACATTGACATGTTAACATTCACATTAATAAGAGTATAAAATTGGGCCGCGGCCCATAGGCGGCAAAAAGCCCGCCCGCCGCCCGGGGCGGGCCCGGCCCGGCCCGTTGACAATGTGAATATTCACATTGACATGTTAACATTCACATTGATAGGAGTGTAAAATTAGCCCGCGCCTCGTAGCTGCCCGAAACCAGCCTACGGCCCGTGGATGGGCCCGACCCGGCCTGTTGATAATGTGAATGTTAACATTGACATGTTAACATTCACATTGATAAGAGTATAAAACTAGACAGCAGCCCAGAGCGGGCCCGACTCAGCCCGGCCCGGCCCATTGACAATGTGAATATTCACATTGACATGTTAACATTCATATTAATAGGAGTGTAAAATTGGCCCCCGTCCCGTGGCGGTGCGAAACCCGCCCGTGGCCCCTGGGCGGCCCGGGGAGGGCCCGGTCCGGCCCGTTGACAATGTGAATATTCACATTAACATGTTAACATTCACATTGATAAGAGTATAAAATTGGCCTGCGGCCCATGGACGGCCAAAAACCCGCCCGCGGCCCGGGGTGGGCTCGGCTCAGCCCGTTGACAATGTGAATATTCACATTGACATGTTAACATTCACATTGATAAGAGTGTAAAATTGGCCCGCAGCCCGTGGGCGGCCCGAAGCCCGACCGCAGCCCGAGGCAGGCTTGGCCCGACCCGTGACAATGTGAATATTCACATTGACATGTTAACATGCACATTGATAAAAGTGTAAAATTAGCCCGCGCCCCATGGCTTCCCGAAACCCGTCCACGGCCCGTGGGCGGCCTAGGGCAGGCCCTGCCCGACCTGTTGACAATGTGAATATTCACATTGACATGTTAACATTCACATTAATAAGAGTGTACAATTGGCCCGTGACCCTTGGGCAGCCCGAAGCCCGACCTCGGGCCAGGGCGGGCCCGGCCCGTTGGCAATGTGAATATTCACATTGACATGTTAACATTTACATTGATAGGAGTGCAAAATTGGCCTGCAGCCCGTGGGCGGCCCGAAACCCGATCGCAGCCCGAGGCGGGCTTGGCCCGACCCGTGATAATGTGAATATTCACATTGACATGTTAACATTAACATTGATAGGAGTGTAAAACTTGTCCGCTGCCTGAAGCTCGCCCGCGGCTCGGGGTAGGCCCGGACCCAAACCCGGGTCACCCCGGGCCGCCCACGGGCTTCGGGCCGTCCATGGGACGCGAGTCAATTTTACACTCTTATCAATATGAATGTTAAATGTCAATGTGAATATTCACATTGTCAACTCCTTCACAACTAGAATATCATCTAACTTCAATTCAATCTCATGGGTATCTCTCACAGAAGCTAAATAGCCCTCACAACCATTTCTTAACAACCGTCTAGCTTGCAAAGATGAGATTACCAGAGGAGGAGTGTTAACTCTACTACCCACAAAGCAAAATTCTGGTTGATCAGGAATCCCCACGGGTCGCGAGTCAATTTTACACTCTTATCAATGTTAATGTTAATATGTCAATGTGAATATTCACATTGTCAATGAGCCGGGCCGGGCCCGCCCTGGGCAGCGAGCGAGCTTCGGGCCGCCCAAGGGCCACGGGCCAATTTTACACTCCCATCAATGTGAATGTTAATATGTCAATGTGAATATTCATATTGTCAACGGGCCGGACCGAGCTCGCCCCGGGCCGCCCATGGGATGCGAGTCAATTTTACACTCTTATCAATGTGAATGTTAATATGTCAATGTGAATATTCACATTGTCAACAGGCCGGGTCGGGCCCGCCCCAGGGCGCCCACGGGCCGTGGGCTAGTTTTGGGCAGCCACGGGGCGCGGGCTAATTTTATACTCTTATCAATGTGAATGTTAATATGTCAATGTGAATATTCACATTGTCAACGGTCGGGCCGGGCCCGCCCAGGGCAGCCCACGAGTCGCAAGCGAGTTTCCGGCCAGCCACAGGCCGCGGGCTAATTTTACACTCCTATCAATGTGAATGTTAACATGTCAATGTGAATGTTAACATGTCAATGTGAATATTCACATTATCAACGGGCCGGGCCGGGCCCGCCCCGACCCGGGCTTCGGGCTGCCCACGGGTCATGGGCCAATTTTACACTCTTATCAATGTTAATGTTAATGTTAATATGTAAATGTGAATATTTATATTGTGAACGGGCCAGCCCGGGCTCGCTCCGGGCGACGGGCTGGTCTCGGGCCGCAGGCCAATTTTACACTCCTATCAATGTGAATGTTAACTTGTCAATGTGAATATTCATATTATCAACGGGCCGGGTCGGGCCTATTTTTTTTGGCTTGTGGGCCGGTCCGACCCGACTCGAATTTTTCCGGGCACCCACGAGGATCGACATGAGCCGGGCCCCTACATATTGACGATATAAACATTTATATTGACGGTGTGAACATTCACATTAAGGGTATTTTGGTAATTATGTCACCCATAGGACTTATTGAAACATAAGAAAATAATATGAACTAAATGGAACATAAGTAGATGAAAAGGGTATTTTGGTCTTCTTATCTAAAATTGGACCTAATGGAATAGTCAAAAAGAATATGGGTTGGATGGAATAAAGCTCTTAGAAAATGGATTTATCAAAAAAGCTCTCATTAAAAATTCAAGATTTATTTTGTTAAAAAGGTCAAATCTGATTTTTTTTTTTTTTGGTACTTATCCAAATATTTTTCACATTTCAAAAGTTAAAATATTTTCTATCCCAACGATTTTTTTCCCCTCTATTGATTACAAAAATAACTGTGTTTTATTTTTAATTGTACCAAACATGACAATCGAAATAAATGAAGCATGAGTTTGAACTATTTACCATTATATATATTTAAATTTTAGCAGATTTAGAGCAGGTTTCACAAATTTTTTATAAAAGTATTTTTTTTTTATTTTTAAATTTGGATAAAATTGTTGCTAAACAAGTTCATATGTTTGGCAAATGTTAAAAATGCTGTTTTTTGGTTATTGAGAAGTTTTAGGTGGGGTTTCAATTTTTATTTTTGTCTTTAGTAAAATATTTATCTATCTATTTAAATTTATGCTATATATAAAGTGAATGCTTATATTGGTGTTGTGAAGTATTGGCTTCTCTATGTGCTAAGTGTCTATTTCTCTATTTATCACAAATTTCCACCACTAACACACAGTTAGTAGCCAAAAATGAAATAAATACCAATAAAGTAAATTTATAATATCTAAAGATTGCAGATTTAGCGACCAAATATTTTTTAGTCGCCCAAAATCTTATTTTCCACCACTAACACACAGTTAGTAGCCAAAAATGAAATAAATACCAATAAAGTAAATTTATAATATCTAAAGATTGCAGATTTAGCGACCAAATATTTTTTAGTCGCCCAAAATCTTATTTTCCACCACTAACACACAGTTAGTAGCCAAAAATGAAATAAATACCAATAAAGTAAATTTATAATATCTAAAGATTGCAGATTTAGCGACCAAATATTTTTTAGTCGCCCAAAATCTTATTTTCCACCACTAACACACAGTTAGTAGCCAAAAATGAAATAAATACCAATAAAGTAAATTTATAATATCTAAAGATTGCAGATTTAGCGACCAAATATTTTTTAGTCGCCCAAAATCTTATTTTCCACCACTAACACACAGTTAGTAGCCAAAAATGAAATAAATACCAATAAAATAAATTTATAATATCTAAAGATTGTACAATTAGGGACGAACTTATTTTTTAGTCGCCCAAAATGCTATTTTTAACAACTAACATGTAATTAGTCGCCAAAAGTAAAGAAAATACCGACTAAATTTATTTTTAGTAGCTAAATAGTGTACTTTTGCCGACCATATATTTTTAGTAGTCAATACGTGTACCTTTGGTGACCAAATATTGTTTAGTAGCTAATGTGTGTACCTTTGGTGACTAAATTTTTTTTAGTAGCTAATGCGTGTACCTTTGGTGACTAAATTTTTTTTAGTAGCTAATGCGTGTACCTTTGGTGACTAAATAAAATTTAGTCAGCATTTTTGGTCGCCGAATGTGTTATTTCCTGTAGTGTACTTAGTCTTCCTATCAAAAACTCATTAGTCATACAAATGAAAAAATAATATTGTCATCTCTTTTCCACTAAATATATATTTTATCTTATTTATTTTATATTTTCATACTATTTACAGTTTTGGTCAATTTAATCGTATCAGAAAAGAGGTCAGTGTAATTATGATAAATTTATAAAATTAATTATATTTTCTTCAAGTTTTATTTAAAAAAATATATCTTAATTCTTATTATATTTTACGTTTTAGAAGGTAAAAAAACCTATATTATTTACAAAAATGCTTCCGACCCCTAGTGACCCCCAGCTGATGTGGCGGCACGCGATTGGTTGAATTTTTTTTTTTTTTTTTTGATTTTCCCTTGGTCCACAGCCTCCCACGTGGAGTGGGGGTGCTAGGGGTCAACCCCCAACTGGGGGTCCCTAGCACGGCTCATAATGAGAAAGCTGAACTTAGCGTTCGTGTCTACTTTTTTATTTTTATTTTCCCAAAATACTCATATTAGGACTGCCCTGAGTTTTTGGAGGTCTAAGGCGAAATAATTTTTCGGGGGCCTTTTAGATATTCATAAAAAATAAAAATAAAAATCACCCTGTTTGGTTTAGAGTTTTCAAAAATAATTATTTGAGTTTGCAATTTGTATTATTTTATATTTTTTGTATTTGGCAACTTTTTTTTTATTACAAATATTATAGTTTTTAAGTGTATTTAAATTAGATGTATCTACAAAATAAATAAATAAAAATTGCGTAAAATATTTAAAAAAATACTAAAAAACACATAATTAGCCCATAAAAAGAGGAAAAAAAATAGGCCACACAAAATTAGGCTAATGAATAATAGATATACATATACTTTATATTTTATTTTTTTAATTGAACTAACAACTAATACTTATAAATATTTTTAACTGAGCCTTTTATCAATTGGGCCAAATAAAACTTTTGAGACATAATAAAATTGACTAAATTAATTAAACAGAATTGAGTCATTTAAAATTTTTAATATAATATAAGATAAGAAATTTGAAGGCCATTTTTCCAGCCTAGATTCGAGGCTTTACGTACAAGCCTCACTAGCCTTAATCCAAGTCCGGCGTGACTCTTATAGGTGGGCAGTTATGCCCAAAATTCAGTTCTTTTTTTTTTTTGGTCTGTTTTTCCTCTCTTAAGGCCTTGTTTGGGGACTTACCTTTTTAGCCAAAAAGTCAAAAAGTTACCATTTTAGCCAAAAAGCCAACAACTCATACCAAAAAGTCAAAGATTCTCTTTTCTCTCTACTTTTTGCACATCTTTTCGTAATTAGCCAAAAAGTCATCCCAAACATATAAGTTTTTTTTACCTACCTTTTTAGCCAAAAAACCAAAAAGTTACTAAATTAGCCTGTTCCCAAACGAGGCCTAAGTCTCTCAACTTCTAATTTAAGATTTTCATCTATACTATTATAAAAAAAAGAAGGCTGAACTTGATATTTGTGTATTTTTTTTTTTTTTGACTTTTTCCAAAATACCCTTATAGCAATTAATGATTGGCTTGAAAATTAATTTTTTAATTTTCTTTTTTGATTGTTTATGAAAACACGTATAAAAAAAATAAAAACTAATTTTATGTAGTGACTTTTTGACAACAAACTTTAACTTTCCAAACAAGGCTTAAATGGGCAATTGTGCTCAAAAGTTTAGGCTTTGTTTGGAATGTGAGTTGATTTTTTAGCTTTTGGTTTATTTTAGCCTAAGACTAAAAAATTTCGTTTGAAATAATTTTTTTGATTTTTTTAACTTTTGTGAGAGAAAAAATAAAATGATTATAATTTGAATATGACATTTTTTAATCTGAGGCTAAAAAATTTATTTTGTCTTTGTGCGACTATTTTAGCCCCAACCCTCCCCAACCCGACTTCCCAAACGAGTGCTTACTTTAGTTTTTTTCCCCTCAAGAACTTCTAATTTTAGATTTTCAATTGCAGCCTCCGTTTGGCAAGAAAAAGCCCAGGCTTTTTTGGTTAAAATAGCCACAAAAAATAAAATAGGCTATTTTAGCCACAAAAAATAAAACATCAAATCCAACCCATAATCATTACAATCCTCTCTCACAAAAAAAGTCAAAAAAGCCAAAAAGCCCTTCCCAAACCAGGCTAAAATAGCCCAGGCTAAAATAGCCAAAAAGCCAAAAAGCCAAAAAGCCAACCCACTTCCCAAACGGAGGCAGACAATTTACGGTATTATTTTTTCAGATGATCATATGCCTACGCATGAAGTGTGCCACTATATATATACTTTTTTAATCTTACTAGATTATAAAAAGAAAAAAGTAAAAAATTATAAATTAAAAAAAATGTGATTAACAAAATAAAAGAAATGGTAGGCAAAGAGTGAGAGAATTAAATACTGGCTCCCTTGCGAAGACCATCAGCAGATCTTTCAAAGACTGCTTTTGAGATTAGCCTCAATGCAGATGCCAGAACTCCTGATGCAGCATAACCAGCTAGGAATGACTGCAAAAATTCATTACAAACAACATTATATTCATCAACCAATCAAATTGATTCATATAGATAGAAATGAACCAAAACTAGTCTTAGAAATGAAGAAAGAAGTAGGATTAATTACATTTGTATTTTTATTTTTGTATTTTAATCAAAATTTCATTTTGTTGCTTCCACTTTCAGTTGTGATTGTCACCTCTCTGTCTATCCACAGGGCCAACCCAAGTGTAAGGTTCCATTTTCAGATAACGGTAATTTATACCACTTTGGTCCCTATAGTTTTGAATATGATTTTTTCTTTTCAAATTTTAAAAATATATGATGGAAGAACCACATTGCAACAAAATTAAAAATGTAGAGTTTAAATTGTTTAAATCGAAACTATGGAAAATAAACATGACACTTCCCTTAAATTACAAGAACTGATGGTATAATTTATCTTTCGTATAATGTTTAAATATATGTTTGTTTATTTTCTTGTAAATTTTGAATCATTTCACCAATACAAGACCCATGTCAACAAAATTAAAAGTGTAGTAGACTTAAAGAATACAAGCTTGATTATCACCTATAAAAATTAGAGGTTTCAAAGTGATATTGTAATAAAAATATAAAAATGTCAAGTATTATTAACTTAAAAATATTTTAACTCTAAACTACAAAGGCTTACTTGGATGAACTCAGGGCACATGAAGGATAGGTCTCCGACCAGTCCTCCTTGAACATGGCCATCTGCAACACCAAATGCAGCTACAATGATGCATATACCAATATAATTTCCAATTCCTCCCTTCCCTGATGTTGCTAAATCCAACTGTCAAACATAATTTAAGAATTCAAAAAAAATAAAAAAAAAGACAAAAAAAAGATGATAAAACTTATTAGTAGTATTTGGTTAATTGAAATAGATTAGAATAGAATCATTATTTACTATTATAATGGAATGATTATTTCATAGGGGGCTTAAGAAATGATCATTCTATTATATTCTATCTCATTCTAGTGAACCAAATAGAGTAATAGAGTTGAGATGTGGGAAAAAAAAAAACAAAGAAGTTAACTCGTTAATCTACACCGACTCAAATAGATTCGGGAAGTTTGAGAAGACTAAGAAGACGGATAGGTTGGGTTGGGTTGAATTGAGTTGGGTAGGTTAAATGATAAAAATCAGTGAATTGATTGACCTACGGGTTAAAATTTGTCAGATTGACCTACCTTACCTCTATGCATATTCAAAATTATCTTACACTTGTTCACACATAAATCTCCCTCTCTCTCTGTCTTCCTAGTGACTCACTTTTCATTTTCTTCTCATATGTTTATCTTAATTGGATTGTTTTGACTCAGGCATACTCTCTACCCAAGTGCGTGCCCATCACACATTCGATTAATTTGTGAGTTTTGTGTAAGTATTTGAAATAAATAATTATTTTTTTAACTCGTCCAAAACCTTTTTAAAACCATGAGTTTGAAACCTCTAAATATTCTACTAGTTTAAGAATGGATGATTGGCCGTGAGTTAAAAGTTTCTTAATCCATTGAAACAATTTGATAGATGATTTTGGCTCCGTTTGATAGAGTTGTGATAAAGTGATTATAACTTATAACCTAACAGTTTATAGCTTATAACTGTGAACATAAATTGATTTTTGACTTATAAATTAAGCTTCTCTTCCCCCACTTAAAGAATAAGTTGATTTTTTACTTACAAAAAACTATAAGCTGTATTGTTAAGCTGAATCAATTACATCAAAATAACTTAAATTAAACTAAAAATTAAAATAAATTAAAAATAAACTTTACCAAACACGACCTTTGTCCTAAAATCAATCTAACCTTAAAAGAGTTCGAGTTTAATGAAGTTGAAAAGTGGCTAGGTACTTACAACTAAAAGGCCCAAAGTAGCTATGAAGAAAAGGCTGAACCCAGTCAAATTGCGCCACCTTGTCTTAATCTTGGACACATTATGTGAAAGTATTCCCATTGTTGCGATTGAAAATGGTAGATAAAGTAGGGGTAGTACCCTTGCAGGGTGGTACCTCTTCAAAAAAGCAAAAACGAAATTAGAATTTAAAAATAAAAAAATTTGTTTGGTTTGAAAATTTTAAAAATAAAATTTGATTTTTCAATATGTATTTGTTGATTTTTTAGTATTTTTTAATATTTTAGTCTCTCTCTCTCTCTCTCTCTCTCTCTCTCTTTTTTTAGTATTTTTTAATATTTTAGTCTCTCTCTCTCTCTCTCTCTCTTTTTTTTTTTTTTAATACATTTTAGATCTATTTAATCATGATACACTTAAAAAATACAAAATTTGTATAAAAAAAAATAATAAAAAATTAAAAAATTCACTAAATACTAAAACATACAAAAAATAAAAAATAAAAAACCAAAAAATACTATACACTTCAATTTTTTTTTTTTTGAATTTATTGATTTTTTTAAAGATTTATTCACAAATATTTACTTTTTAAGTAAATCTACATTAGGTGCATCCAAAGAAATGACTAAAATATTTAAAAAGTTCACTAAAAATAAAAAATATGAATTAAAAATTAAAAAAATATATTTAAAAACTCAAGATGAAACAGAAACTCAATATGTGAGATTGGTGAGTGATCAAATATATAACTCTTTATTACCTTTAAAAAATCAAATATATATCTCAAGTTTACTTTCCTGAATGCGGTAAGAAAAACCCTGTGCAAGATTGGGTTTTGATTACAAGGAGGGAAAAAACAAAGAATTGCTATTGAATCCATTAGAAAATAAAAGGATTATTTCAATTTGAAACTCAATTTCTTGAATTGTTTTTGAAAAATTTAAAATTAATTTAACAAAAATAAATATCAAAAACAATATTTTTTCCCTAAAAAAAATATAAAACTATATAAAAAAAAGAAAAATTAGTGAAATATCTCTCTTTAACTTTGGATAGTAGGAGGGATCCAATATTTTTTTTTATTATCATTAATTAAGCTCTCTCGATGAAATTTCTCTGTGATCATACTAGAGAAATTTCTTTGTGAAAATTAAAATTGCTTTGTGTTGGGGTGAAAATATTGTATGTTTTTTTTAATATCAGAGACCTTAAAAACAAATTCCCAAAGAAGATTGAGTGCTTTTGATTTATTATTATTTTTCCCTGAATTAATTTCAATTTTTTTTTTCCAAACTTCTGAAAATCATATTTTGAAAATCAAACTAAACATAGCCTCAATTTTTGATAGGTGCCTAAGAGATCGGATGAAGCCATGTGAAACAACATACGGAATTTATCAATTGAGCTCACATGGTTAAGCTACTGAAGGCATTATCTATGTAAATTAATATCAACCATGCTAACCACATTGTCCCCGTGCAGTTTATTTAAGTTGATTATAATTTATTGTTTTTTTTTAGAAATTTATATTATGATATAGTTTTTATTTGTAATTTATTAGGTAAAAATAACTTAAATAAATTAGAGAAAAAAAACTTATTATTTAAAAGTTGTGAAACAGGTATTTTTAATTTTTACTTTTTGATTGTTAATAAAATAAGACAAAGTATGTGAAACAGGCTCGTGGGGCCCACCATGGTTCCGTTTTGATAATCTGAGTTGTTAATTTTGTAGAGCTCTCAGTATTATCATTTATGAAAAAAGTTAGGTCAATCCGTTAATTATAATATTTTTTTTTTATCGTGCTTGTCTCCAAAAAAATAAATGATAGGTAAGTCTTTGAAAAAATCCATCCATTTTCTTGAAGACAAGCACAATAAAATAAAATAAAAAAGACTAGAATTATCAAATCTACATAAATTTTTGTATGAACAGTATTGTCAAATTAAAACTCTTGATGGTCCTCAAGTAGGGGTGGATACAAGGGGTGGCGGGTGGAGCCACCGCCCCCAAACTTTTGGAAAATTGTACTTCTAAAATATAATTTTGAATATTTATAAAAGAACTTTGCATTTTGGCCTGAAAATTTATATAATTTTACTTCAACCCCTCAAAAATCTAAATGATTTTACTTTTGTTATGCTAAATTTTGAATTTTTTTTACTGTTTTCATGCAATTTTTTGATAATTATAAAATGAATTAGTATTTTAGCCACTCCAAACCTTTGAAAAATCATTCCTTTTCATGTATTTTGAGTGTTTATAAAATAAACTAGTATATTGGTTCCCAAAATCTATATATAATCTTTAATTTCTCTAAAATTTAAATAATTTTGCTTTAGGCCCCTTTTTCACAATTCTTGCCACGGCTGCTGCCCTTAATTTCTCAAGTTTAGATTTGAACTTGAAAAAAACTTAACTCATAATTTATCATTAACGCTGTGTTTGGTTGGGGGATTTGAGAAGAGAAATGAAAAGGGAAATGGAAATGAAAGGAAAAGGAGAAAGAATTAATAGAATTCCAAATCCCAACTATGTTTGGTTGTGTTGGTTATAAAATAGAATTGATGTCCTAAAAGGTATCCTATTTCTTTATTTATTTCTCACCCCCTTTCTTTTCCCATATATTTTTTATTATAACCAAACATAAATAGGATTACATTTCTCATTCATATTCCAAATCCCACCCCAAAAACCCCAACCAAACACAGCATAAACAAAGCCAATATAGAAAATCCTTAGCTCATCCTCTCAAATAGTAAGTTGATATATAGGATAGGATCTCAAGAGTCATAATTTGAAGAAAAATAAGTTCAAATTACTTAAAATTAACTTTGTAATTAGCATACAAAAAAGTGACATTTAGCCTTAAAAAGGATTGGAAATTGACTATGCCGTTCTTACTGGGAACAATTTATAGTAGTAATCTCCTATTGTCAATATGCTGTTCCAGGCGATAAGGGCCCCTAGCCCTAGAATCCAACATACTACCATTGCAGCATACTTTCCCTGAATATCATAAACAGGAAAACAAATCAATCACTTTATTTTATATAGATTTCAAATTTTATTTTCTGGCTTCTTGTTTTTCTTGTTCTTTTGTTTTTTTATAATCATTTTTTTTCTCCATATTTTAGTAACTTTTTATTTATTTATTTTTAGATGCCCCAAAAAGTAAAGCATATGTTAAAAAAAAAAAAAAATGAAAAATAAGTACACTAAAGTTTTAAAAAATGAAATGTAAAAAAAAAAAAAATGAAAAATAAGTACACTAAAGTTTTAAAAAATGAAATGTTTTTACAATAAATGCAACCTTTTCTTTTATAAACGAGTAAAATTAACAAAGTCTGATCCACAAACCTGAAGCTTAGTTGGAGTTCCACTTGTATCAACAATAGTCATGGCTTCTTCTGTAGAACAATAATAATAATCTTAATATTGAGGAGGAAATGACTTTATTATGACATATGCTTCAAAAGTTTACTGATAACAATAAAGAAACATAAACTTGAATATCGGTTGGTGGTTGCATTAAAATTGAAACTATAAATAGAGGAGGTGGCGTGGATGAAGACACTCGTAATTTAAATTTTCTCCACTGTGGCAAAGTGAAGATAGCAACGAGATGTATGGAGTCCATTAATCATATCATTAATTTGGAATGTAGAGGTAAATTATATCCAGTTAGGGTCTGTGAGGAGCAAGTTATTGTATCTACAGAAGTGAAGATGCAATGTTTTTGTAAATCACACGAATGGAAGAATGGTGAGAAACTATAATCTTGAGGAGGATAAGCATCAGATTGCAGACAAAGGGAGCAGGCATGAGGATGATGCTGATTACGTGGGTGGAGGTACACGTTGGAAATGAGATGGAAAAGGGATTGATGAGAAATGAGTAGAAACTGTGGCAACACATGCTAGTGATAATGTCATGGAAGGGGATGATAGGCTTCGAGATGTATTTGTGGTGGCAAAAACAGAAATGTCAAAGGATATGTCAAAGGTAGGGAGTGCATGCGAGGGTGGTCTGCAAAGATAGTGGTGATTTCCAGGATGAGAAATAATGATGGAAATCGACGACAGGTTGATGGAACAATTTTCACTCCTGGATTTATCAGAAGCATCAGTCGTTCTGAAGGAATTAGATTTGGGATTCATTTAAAAGTGGGTTTGAGGGGGGCCCAAATGTCTGGTGGCCCTGGTGGGATTAGGCATGGGGCTCGATCTGAAGTGGATCCACATGGGGTCCATTTGTTTGGTGGCCAATTGCAACCTGATGGGTCAATACAAGCTATTGCTAAGTTGGGTTCTGTGGACAATTGCAACTCACAAATTCCCAATGTAATTGTAGACCAAATCCAAAGGGAGGTGATTCAGCATACACTTAAGGAAAAAGGGGTGTTGAGTGCAGTAAACCCAACTCTAAAAAGAAAGGTCTCTTCGAAGGTAAAGGGTAAAGAAATAAGAAGAAAGCAATGGCAGAAGTAAGGGAAGCTAAGAGCCTTCACTGAACCTGAGGAAAGGAGCAATCTTTAGGTTGGTTGTAGCTGCCATCTCACTCTCAATGGCTAGTGAATCCAGTAAAGGAAGGATTGTGCTGTTAGAGGCGGTAGCAACACTTGAAATTGGCAAAGCACTTGGCATAGATTGCAAAGGGAAGGATGATGTGGTGATTAGCAAGTTAGAAGATCTAGAAGCTAAAGACTTAGAGAGGGGGAGGAAAAGAGATGGTGATGCTAATTAATTTAGCAAAATCAGGGGAATCATGAGTGATTTTCCATGTTTTAATGAAGATACAATCATGGAATGTGAGGGGGCTTGGTAGACCAGAGAAAATGAGGAAGATTAAGAGAAGTCTTGCTGAAAGAAAAGTGGACATTGTTTTAATCCAAGAAACAAAGACGGTTGTAGTCAGTTCTCATCTAGTAAGGTCTATCTGGCCTGGAGACCATTTTGAATTCATATCAGTTGATGCGAATGGTAGAGCTGGAGGTTTACTGTGCATTTGGAACCCTAAGGTATTTCAATTGAATGCTTGCTGCTGTAATCATAATTTCTTACTGTTATCATGTACAATCTTTTATAGCTTTGAATGTGTTGTTGTTAATGTATATGGTCCTAATGAGGTGGCAAGAAGAAAAGAGGTTTGGGATGGCTTAGTAAGGTTAAAATGTAGTTTCTGGAGCCATGGTGCAGAGGGGGTGATTTCAATGAAATCAGGAACATCTCAAAAAGAATTGGGTGCTCTAGAAGGGATAGAGGAATGAGGAATAAGGAATGGGGGATTTTAACAATATGATTGAACAAATGGAACTGATGGATATGCCTATGCTTGGGAGGAAGTTTACTTGGTGTAATTCTCAAGATAGAGAGAAATGGACTAGAATTGATAGATTTTTATTCAATCATGAATGGATGCAGAATTTTAATTTCAAACTTTGGTGTCTTCCTAGGTTGTTATCAGATCATTGTCCCATTATTCTTATGGAGAATGATAGGGACTGGGGCCTTAGACCTTTTAGGTTTCTTAATACCTGGTTATCACATCCCAATTTCCTATTATTTGTAAAGCAAAGCTAGTCAGAAAGTTTAGTGGAAGGGTGGGCGGGGTATAAATGCCTTATGAAATTTAAATCATTGAAGCAAGCACTAAAACAATGGAATTCGGAGGTATTTGGTAAGGTTGAGGATAGGCTTAAAAGTGTTGAAGATGAAACTCATGCTCTTGACTTATTAGTTGATAAGAGACCACTTCTTGATTCAGAATAAGTTAGAAGAATAGAAGTAAGGGGGGAAGTTTGGAGATTAAGTAAATTGTTGGAGAGGATTTGGTTGCAGAAATCCAGAATTAATTGGGCCTCAAAAGGTGATAGAAATACAATTTCCACATTATGGCTTGTAGCAGGAACAGTAGAAATTCCTTGGGCTCAATCTTAGTGAATGGCTTAATGATTGAGGAGCCTATGGAAATCAGGGTTGAAGTCAAGGCCCATTTCATGAGGCAATTTTTTGAATCTTGGATTGCTAGGCCTAACTTATTTGGCCCTTTCAAAAACATTGGAGGTGTTCATGTTGTGGACCAATTGGAGGTAGAGTTTACAGAGGCAGAAATTAGAAATGTAATCAAGAGCTGTGAGGGTAATAAGGCTCCTCGGCTTGATGGGTTCACCATGGCATTTTTTAAGAAATGTTGGGGAATTGTGAAATCTGATGTGTTCCAATTCATGTGTGAGCTCCACTAGAATGCTAGTTTTGTTAGTGGGATTAATAGCTTATTTATAGCTCTAATTCCAAAATCTGATAACCCATCTTGTTTAAATGATTATACGCTAATTAGCTTGATTGGTTCTATGTATAAAATACTTGCAAAGGTGTTATCAAACAAAATTAAATTGGTGATGCCCAGAAACATTAGTGAGATTCAGTTAGACTTTTTGGGAGGAAGGAACATTCTAGATGGTGTCTTGATAGCAAACAAGATAGCTAATGGGTGGAGAAGATCTAATAGTAAAGGATTGGTTCTTAAACTGGATTTTGAAAAGACATATGATTCAGTTAATTTGGAGTTCTTATTTTCCATGCTCTCAAATTTTGGCTTTGGAGATAAATGGGTGAGATAGATTAGAGCTTGTGTGTCTTCTACTAAGATCTCTGTCTTGGTTAATGGGTCACCGATATCTGAATTTAGTCTGCAAAGGGGTTTAAGACAAGGTGATCGATTGTCACCATTCTTATTTAATATTACAGCAGAGGGATTAAATATTTTGTTGAGTACAACCAAGGAGTTGGGCTTAATAAAAGGGGCAGAGATGGGATCTAATGGCTTAAAAGTCTCTCATCTACAATTTGCGGATGACACGATCTTGTTTTGTGAAGCTAAGTGGGTGGAAGTGGTGAACATCAAACGAATTCTACACTGTTTTGAGATATTAGCAGGCTTAAAAATCAACTACCATAAGAGTGTAATTTGTGGTATTGGAGTGGATGATGGGCTGCTGCAAGATTTTGCTACTAGACTTAATTGTCTTCACCAGAGGCTACCTCTAAAATATTTGGGGCTGCCTTTGGGGGCCAATCCAACAAGTGCAATATTGCATCAGGAATGGTGGCTGAGTTGGTCTGTTTGGGAATCTGTGAACTCATCTAGGGGACTATTGGTGTGCTGCTAGGGCTCTATTTGGTAGAGCCGTGGGAAAGTGCTTATAGCTTATGCCTTAACAGCTTATAACTTATAACTATGAACATAAGCTGATTTCTGACTTATAAATTAAGCATCTCCTGCCCTACTCAAAGAATAAGCTGATTTCTGACTTACAAAAAGCTATAAGCTGCATTGTTAAGCTAAACCAAATACATCAAAATAGCTTAAATTAAGCTGAAAGCTGAAATAAGCAGCTTTTAAGCTGCACTAAACAAGCACTAGTTCTTGCTCTGCTGCTGCTGCAGTGATTTTTTTCTGGCTGCTGTTGCGAGGTGTTATTTCTTATTGGTCTTGTTGGTCGTGCTGTCATAGTAATGTAGGAGATTGAGTTTTGCTTGTTGGTCTTGTTGTTTTGCTATTTTAGTTTTGCTTGTTCCCTCTTTTGTTGGTTTCTCACCAACCTCTTGGCTTGAGCTAACAAATGATTGTGCATTCTTTTTAGTGCCAATCTAGTTGGGATTAAGGAGGTATGTGATGATGCTTTTTGCTCTTGGCTTCCCTCTTTGTTGATGTATACTAAGATTTAATAGTTGTTTTATTATCATCAATAAAGATTTTCTGCTGATAAAAAAAAAAAATAGAGGAGGTGGCAGACAAGCATTGGTGCTTTAAGTCCAATTTCTATTGCTTAGCTTAATGCGCTATCTAGATCTCGAATTATTAGAATTCCATTTGCTTGCTTTCCCATTTAGGAAAAGTAATCCTCGGTCAAACTGGTTTAGAATCAATCAGTAGTACGTCTCGCGCTAGGTTGGCAAAACCTAAATATCGAGTGATGAATATAGAAAATT